TTTGGGCAAGCTCCATACCAGAAACCGGAAACTTATTTTTTTTGGCCTTATGATATGATTAGCATATGTTTCATGAACGTCAACGACGTTAGAGGATCTGGCAAGTCTACCAATAGTCCCAACTGGTTGCATGCTTGAGTAGCCATCCATGCAGCACCACATGTGCGCTTCCCACGGACCTTCAAGTCTTGTCGAGGTAAAGCAACAAGTTCAACTGCAGGTTGTTTGATTTTCTTTGTGAAAAGCAAAGAGTAATGGGTGCAGGGTAATGGGTGCAGGGTAATGGGAGGGGTAATGTTCAGTTCAATTATGATTAAGTCACTGTAAACACAAGAACATATGCCAGCCCGACCACTCTGCGTTTGTAACTCAACAAACGCGAACCTCTAGTTGAGTGGTCGGGCACAACCCGACCACTCTCTGTTATTGTTCTGGTAAATCTTTTTTTTTTTTCCGGACAATACTTCTCCGCGGCTTTTCTCCTAAACGGTATATGGTATGAACTTGTAACTTTCAATATATATCGACCCTCATCCGAAGTGGTGCATATTACTCTGACGTCATGCTTACGTCATCAGGTGTCAAATTACAAGTGATTTTATCTGAAAAAGTGACCAATTACTTTAACCTATAACTTTTGAACTAAACATTCAATGATGTTTGTATTCTGTACATCAGATAGACCATTAATCGCTTAACAGTTTTGTCGTGTAGGTGAACTCGCTTGACCTTTACTTCCGGGTCTACCGGAAGGTCAAAGTTAGGTGAATTCGTCAAAATGAAGACGTTAGCCTGACATCAAAACAAAGCAGCATTTCTTCCGAACGGTTCACGGTATGATAACAAAACCTTGTGTGAACCTGAACCATGTTACGAAGATGTTATATTTTTGTTACGTCATCATGACGTCATCAGGTATCAAATTACAAGCGATTTAAGGGCAAATTTTGACAAAATAGTTTGCGTTATATCTTTTGAACTAAATAGAGTATCGTGTTCGTTTTTTCGTGAGGTTGTAGACTTTGCCGTGAGAAACATTTCGTGTTTCCGGACGCAAAACCGCTTGACCTTTACTTCCGGTGTTACTGGAAGTGCAATAAAAACTAAATATAACTCAAAAGCGGAAGCATTTTACTACAGACATATATTATGAAAGTGTTTAGTGAGGAATGCAAGACGCAAAAAATAGTGTGATGACGTCAACATCCGAAAGGGCGCCCCCTATTGGCACATAAAATAGAGTTTCCCTTCTTTAATTGTAAACCATCCGTCCAAATTTTACCAAATCGACCCTTGACATTCTCTGATTAACCACAGATAACTTGGCAAGGTTTCAAATTCATGACGTCATCAGACCGGAAGTTACTTTAAGGAGAATTTGAAAAAGATCATAGTTTTAATTTAATTCTATCTTCGAAGTCCAAATAATGATATCCATTTCAATGTTCACCTTTGGATCTCTAATGCTGTGACGTCATCAAACCGGAAGTTAGGGTTATTAATACAAACAATTCTATTTCCCATATTTTCATACGTTATTTTAATTTTACAATGAAAAATTATCCTCTCTGAACTTTATCAGTATTCACTAACCGTTTTCGACTGATGACGTCATCAAACCAGAAATAACTTTTTGTGCACATAGAATGTTTACTGAAATTTTATCACACCATTAAAGATACCTTTTTTCAAACATTGATTGTACTTGAAGGGATTTAATTTCGTGATCCTTTTTTCTACATAAACATATATTCCTAACTTAACTGGGCAGTGAATAAATGAAAAGGCTGTCCGCCCGACCACTCTGCGTTTGTAACTCAACAAACGCGAAACTCTAGTTATATTTGTAACTTATGTTATGATTCTGTAGGTTTACTTTGGGACAAACACACATGATCTTATTGAGTGGTCGGGCACAACCCGACCACTCTTTGAGTGGTTGGGCGAAACCCGACCACTCTCTGGAATTGTTCTCATAAATCTTCTTTCTTTCTTTCTTTGAGTGGTCGGGCACAACCCGACCACTCTTTGGAGTTGTTCCGATTAATCTTTGTTTCTTTTCTTTTTTCCGACAATACTTCTCCGCGGGTTTTCTCCTAGACGGTTTATGATATGAATTTGTAACTTTCAGTATATATCAACCCTCATCCCAAGTGGTGCATATTACTTTGACGTCACGATGACGTCATCAGGTGTCAAATTACAAGCGATTTTTGGTCAAAATAATTATGACCATTTTCCGTCAATTATAACTCATGAACAAAATGAACGATCACGTACATACTGTATTTTGTGATCTGATGGACAATACCTTGATAAACATTTTTGATTTAAAGTCAAAGTCGTTTGACCTTTCCTTCCGGGCTACCGGAAGGTCAAAGTTAGGTGAATTCAAAATGAAGCAGTTAGCTTGAAATCAAAACAAAGCAAAATTTCCTCCGAACGGTTTATGGTATGATCATAAAACATAGTGTGAACTTGTACCGTGTTATGAAGATGTTTTAAATTTGGTTACGTCATCATGACGTCATCAGGTATCAAATTACAAGCAAATTAAGGGCAAATATTGACAAAATGGTTTGCGTTATATCTTTTGAACTAAATAGAGTATCGTGTTCGTTTTTTCGTGAGGTTGTAGACTATGCCGTGAGAAACATTTCGTGTTCCCAGACATAAAACCGCTTGACCTTCACTTCCGGTGTTACCAGAAGTGCAATAAAAACTAAATATAGCTCAAAAAAGGAAGCATTTTACTACAGACATATACATCATGCAAGATTTTGTGAGAAATGCAAGTCACAAAAAACAGTGTGATGACGTCATCATCCGAAAAGGCGCCCCCTAGCGGCACATAAATAGTGTTTGTTTTCTTTAATCTGAAGACCATCTGTTCTAATTTTTCCAAATCGCTCCTTGATGTTCTTTGATTAACCACAGATGACTTGGCAAGGTTTCAAATTCATGACCTCATTAGACTGGAAGATGAAAACAATCCTTTTCTATCATTTGATCCATGTCGTATATCTTCGTAGCCCAAATAACGATATCCATAACAATGTTATCCTTTTGCTTCCAAATACTAGGGACGTCATGAAACCGGAAGTTAGATGGTATAAATGCATACAATTACATTTTCCATATTTCCATACGTTATTTAACTTCACAATAAACATTTATCCACTCCGAACTAAATCAGTATTCACTTCCCGATTTTTAATAATGACGTCATCAAGCCAGAAATAACTCGTATGTGTACATAAAATGTTTATGGAAATTTATCACACCGTTAAAGATGCATTTTAAACAAAATAATGTATTGTGATGGAAAGGTTTTAGTTTCGTGATGCTTTGTTCTTACATTAACATATTCATAACTTAACTCGGCAGTGTTTCATGAAAAAATTTGCCTGCCCGACCACTCTGCGTTTGTAACAACAAACGCGAACCTCTAGTTAATATTTGTTTTGAAATTTTGCACGGTATTTTTCGGTAGAAAATACGATTTCCTTACGCATTTTACGGTTAATGCCATGAGAATCAACGCAGTTTGCACATTCACGGTTGCTTTGCGGTGATCGCCATCTTTATTTTCGTGTACGTTTTGTCAGTTTGAGCCTCTTCATCGTCATTTTGGCCCGAACTTTCCTCAAAATTAAAAATAACCTGCTCTCTATTGTTATAGTTGGGATTTAAATTCCATGTATCTGGGTCAGGCCGGCCGGTTAGGGATTAACAGTTTAATCCTCTGGGCCTGAACCCTCCAAAATACTTACCTTTGTATTAACTATGCATAAACTTCGAGTGAACAAGTGGAATGTGCTGGCCCACTATCAATTGGGTAGACATTCCCATGCCGCGGCCTATGTTAGCCATACCACACGGGCAGGCGGACCGCTGACCATACTGAACAACCAGCTCCTGTATATCTAAGTCAAGCAACCTGGAGTGGACCCTCTTGGGCGTGGCCGTTCTTTCCACGCCTTTGCTCTTCACAGTGCTCAAGAATCAAGCTTCAAGACAGCATGAACTATTAGCACGGGTATGATACCCTATCCGTGTGAGCCCCTCGTCGCCAGTCAAGTCCTGCGGTTTCTTCAGTCAAGTCAGCCAAGCCCCCCTCGTTGGACGTGGACCACAACTCGGAATCCTGAGGTGACAAGACGCCGTTTGTCACGCCGCCCCTCATCGGTAAACAGAGCAACCCGGCCTCCTACGTTTTCTTCAGTTCACCGGGCATTCATTGATTCACAGTTGCGTAAGAATCGGCCGATACTTAATTTATGATTGTATAATTTGTATTATATTAATTTATTCATGTACTTGATCTCACTGTGATTTGGATTGACTTTGAATAATAATTAAAAGTCATGCACCTTAATTTCTATGAATTGACATCATCGTTTCCCGCCTTGTTAATTGCTGGTTGTTCAATACATATCCCTTTTGTTTTTGCTCATTATTTATTCTTCCCATTTAATTGACATGTGCTGCCGTGTGTGACGTACTGGGCTTTTAGTTTAGTGTAGGCCTTTTCTCAACGCTGCGCACTGACTGAACACTATCCTTGACGCTGCGTTTTGGTGGCATTTAAATGTCGCTAATGCGCCCATTAAAATGCCCCGCTGCCACAGGTCCGATGTCGGGATTTGGTCACGTTTTTCATGGCCCCAGGGTGGATTTTGGTAGCTCAAAACATTGTTACTATTGGCGTACTACATGGAAAGGCAACCACTACAGTTCACCCCACTCATGCATTATGTCGGGGCATGATCGGGGATTGTCACTTAAATTTTGCCCGAGGGGTGGGGTTTTTGTCACTTCAGTGCTAATCCCCACGTCGTGGTTGTGGCAGCCCGGGGAAGGTTGGGGGAAACCATTGATAGGCGCATAACTAGCATAAATCAGTAGTTTCGTAAGTCCAATACCCTCAGACTTTTGTTACTAACAGGTCTAATACTAGGCAATCGTATTTTTATGGGCTATATAGTAAATGTACATACCCAGGAGATCACTAACGCACTCGACGAGCGCGAAGATCGTTCCCAGAACCCACGTGGCTGAGCTGAACTCATACTGTATCTCGCCTAACATCATGCCCAGAGATTTCACGATAGTTGAGTTCACGAACAACTGCAAGAACACAGAAACCACCGCCCATACGCCGATAGTAAACGCCCGCATTTTGTTGCCGTAGTCGGAAAGCGATGTATTCCGCAGACGTGAACTCTGGACTAGTCCCACGATTATATACAAAGTACATCCGTGACGCTCAATTGATTCGGTCTGATGGCGTTTGTCAAAGGACGACCACACAAAGTAGTGGACTTGTTGTCCTATTCTGACCTTTCATTATAGTACCCTACGCTTTAATCGATTGCTGTTGTAGTGCCATAGGGACAGAATTGTGCTGTTTGTGATAAAAGCGTGAAAACTTGGCATGTGAGGTCTTCATACCATGACACAAAATTTCAGATAATATGGAAGCATTTTATATCTGACCCTTGGTGACCTTTAAGGGGTCGATGACCTTTGAATACTAGTTATTTGTATCTATTTATATAGAGTAGGAGCCAGGGGGTCATTAAATTTTTTGAATTGACCAAGTGTTTGGTGGGTATTTTTGGAAAGGTTACACCTTGGGGAATTCGAATTGGTTAGTCTTATGCTTACCTGGCGGTGGACCTGGATACCAGGAGCAGTTAGTGATGTAACATAAGCAGTGATTAGAACATGCAACAGCCATCGGGTCAGTCAAAGGACTGTGTACGCAGAACATACGTATCACTGACCTGGCGGCTGTTGAATGTCGTACTCAACGATGCACAACACTGAAAAGAATATACGGGCCATGTTTACGTTTTATTACCTTTTTTAATGAGTTCATCAATAGACAAGCATTTAGAGGAGATGTCTGAGTACTATGAAAAGCATATTTGATCACGCTAATGTAGGTGTTTGTTGCCTTTTTAGACCACGGATAAATCATTAAAGACACCAAAATTCCTCAAATTTAAGACACACTTAACTTGGTAATAGTAACTTTCAACCTACAAACAAACACAACATGTCGAAAGTTTATTCGGTGACCAATTAATTGGGTTGGCTTTCACTTCTGAATCTTGTACACGACCTCATTGAACTTGCTTGAGGCAGGGGCGTCAATCGCTTCTCAAAAGTGCGTGTGTGTGTGTGGGGGGGGGGGGACATACCTTGATCAGAACTGATGCGAGCGCGAAGCCCTTACGGCGTGGGGTTCGCTTAAGGGCCCCGAAAAAAATTGGATTCTAGATGCTCTGTCGTGTGATCTGAGGCAATTTCTTACCACTTTCTTCCATGCTTTAACTAATCTTTTCTTAACAAAAGATAATAATTTGAAAATCGTTTTCGAGGTTCCGGTTGGAGTAAGTCATTGAATCAGCTACCGGTATTCTGAGCTAGCTATAGGCGTGTGGTTCGGAGCCCGCTTAAGGGCCCCCGAAACAAAATTGACCTCTTTAACCAATTTTTCTTAGCAAAAGATAATAATTTAAAATAAATTTTCGAGGTTTTCTCAGCAAAAGGCATACGGGGCCCCGAAAAATGTTGGATTCTAAATGCTCTGTGGTGCGATCTGAAGCAATTTCTGACCACTTTAACCAATATTTTCTTAGCGAAAGATAATAATTTAAACATAATTTTAGAGGTTTTCTCAGCTAAAGGCATAGGGTCTGGGGCCCGCTTAAGGGCCCCGAATAATGTTGGATTCTAAATGCTCCGTGGTGCGATCTGAGGAAATTTCTGACCACTTTAACCAATACATTGTATTTTCTAAGCAAAAGATACATTGTAGTACATAATAGGGCCCTGTAAATGAGACACGAGTTCAAAATCTGGGGGGGGGGGGACATTTGATATTGTGTCCCCCACCCTTCAAAAAGTGTGGGCGGGGGAACATGTCCCCCTGCCCCCCCCCCCCCCCCCCCCCAGGATTGACGCCCATGGCTTGAGGGATCGAGTTCTGTAGAACTTGTTGGCCGTCTCTTTGATTTGGTAACATCCCCTCCAAGACGGACCTGGGTAGTCACTGCACAGCCCTCCTCACCTGCAGCTGATGGCGAAACTAGTGCCTGCTGAACCTTCAGGTGCAGGGGCACATGGAGGGATGGGGTGCTGAAACATCTCATGAATGCTGAGACCAAAACCTCCCTCGCGGAAGGGATGTCTAATTCATCCAGGAACAGAGATGGTTGATGTTCTGGCACTTCACTTAGAACATCCTGCTTTGATGTTATTTGTGTGTGGCTCTGGAGTCGCAAGTACTACAATCGCTGGGGTAGGACAGGCCACCTTTACTGCCCTTGGCCCTCATTTGACATTGACTCAGAGTTGCTAGGGTCTGGGGTCGAGGTCTGGGGCAAGATGCGAAACTTACGTGCGAAAGTCCAAATCCTGTCGACGCTTCTTAAGTTCAGTCATGGTGGCTGTAATTTTGTGGAACCTCTTAATAAATCCATCCCATGTGGGTTATACATGTGAAGTGTTTCATAAATTCTATTTATATTATGCCAAACATATTACATACTTAAATGGAGCGAATGTTCAACTGAGCTCAAAGTGGCCTCATTGTGTATCCAAGGGCGGATCCGGGGAGGGGGGCACGGCCCCCAAAAACGAACCCCGTTTTTTTTTTAAGTGACGTCGCAATAAAGGTAGGCACTTCATATATGGCCACCATTTTTTTTCTCAAATAATTTGGTAAAAGTGTTCAGAAAATTGTCTCAGATCGCACCACAGAACATCTAAAATTCAAGGAAAAATCGAGGCGGCCCCAAACCCCATCCCATTATTTGTGGACCCCCTTTTTGGGGTGACCAAAATTTTTTGCCCCCCCCCCCCCCGCTTGTATCAAAGCGTACCACAAATTGAATTCGGAACCAAATACGGAACAGAGGAACAACCAAATTATTAAGGAAACAATCTTCAAATTTAAAAAAAAAAAAAACCGTACAGTCCATGGTATGATGCCCACTCATGTCATGGGTCCTTTGTTAAGGACCTTTTGTTTTGCTTCCCTGAGCTGACATAATAATTATTACAATGCAGGTTTAGGATTATTGCAATTATTGAAATAATTACGTTTGACTCAGCTGGTGTAGAATCGTTTCAAGTATTAAAGTTCAGGTTCTGAAGAGTTGTTGCTAAGGATTATTGCGGCAGCCGCTGCTAGACAACATACAAAATAAAATTATCCTGATCATAATGATCTCGAAGGTGAGATATCTTTGACTCCAATATCTGCACCTTTAAGTATACAAGTACTATTCTGGCAATAAAGTTTGAGCCGCACGCATTGTACATGTGCATACAGTACTTAGATGCGTTTCTTCTGCACCGCACTGACTGCATCGCTTGCTCAGGAAAGGATCGTCTTCAAAATAATTTGTTATAAATATTTTTCAAAACATAAGTGATTTGTGGTCATTTTGGTAACGGTCCCGAGTCACAAGTCACGCAGGTCGAGTCCGAGTCCAAGTCCGAGTCTGCAGGGTGGAGTTCGAGTCTGCAGGGTGGAGTCCGAGTCTGCAGGGTGGAGTCCGAGTCCGCAGGGTGCAGTCCGAGTCCGCAGGGTGTAGTCCCAGTCCGCAGGGCGGAGTAAGGGGTCCGCAGGGTGGAGTCCTAATCTGCAGCGTATCCGATTTCGCAGGGTGGAGTCCGAGTCCGCATGGTGAAATCCGAGTCGGCCGCAGGGTCTGAGTCCGTAGGGTCGAGTCCGCAGGGTCGAGTCCGAGTCCGCAGGGTCGAGTCCGAGTCGTCTGAGTCATTTTTCGAGTCACGGAAACTGGAACTCGAGTCCGAGTCCGAGTCAAGAGTCATAGAAAGTGAGTCCATTTTAATAACTGTTTTGAAGAGTAAGCCTGTATAAACATGGAGTGTGGGTCGGGGTTCGATGATGAACCCCACTTTCTCGTTTACGGATGAGTTTTTAGCCATGTGAATGGCATCGGCTGTACAAACCAAACACCAAACATCCAGGGGCTGGGGGCACTCCCCCCCCCCCCCCCCCCCCCACAGATTTACCCAAGTGCCTCTTTTGCGGACATAAAATGTGCCCCCTCGAGATGCAAACAAAACTGTCCCTAAAATTACGGATAATTTGTTATACGTAACCATTTCCAAAAATGGTATAGTATAGAGAGTTCTAATATGAACAAGGAATATGAAAACCAAGCCCTAAAACCCTTACAATGCGCCCTGAAAATGGGCACATAATGCGTAGTTTGCATAATGGCCGGTTTTGAAGAGCGCCCCCTGTTTTGGAAAAAGGTACTAGAAATAATTATGGTTTATTCGGGGAACAAAAATAACGGCAAAATAACATCCCCCGGCCGCACCAATTGTGTTCTGCCGGCTGGACACCAACTTTCTATGGGGGACGATCATGTGCACCATCGAACAATAAAGGTGGCGCTTTCCATTGCGACAAAATTGCCGATTTTCGCTCAACGTTAAATAAAAGGGCACTCGTGAAATAAAAAGGCACTAGTGGCAAAAAAGTGCATGCCTGAAGAAAAAAAATCATTCATGAAAAAAGGCACTCGTGAAAAAGGGGCACTCGTTACAAAATATTTGGGGGTAAATGCTCCCCTTACTCCCCCCCCCCCCTTCCCCGCTGGTCACGCCAATGTTTAGTAAAGTTTAATAAAGTTCGAGAACCATTACGTTGACGGCTGACGCATGTACATTACGTGCAGTGGCATAATACTTGATTGTAGGAAAATAATTGTCCCTTCCTAAAGCAGAAAATACCTCTATCCTGCTATTTATAGTAAGCTCGACAAAACGTTTTTCCTGTTTAACTATGGGGCATGTACCTGGTAAACTGTGGGACCGTATTGAAAAGTTTCGAGACTGGAGTCGAAGAATGCTTAAAGAGGAAATACATTGCAGCTGGGTTTTGTTCAAGTGTGATTGTTTTACACAAGTAATATTACCCCTTCCCCGATGTAAATGGTAAAATTAGCTTACTTCTCGTATTTGTGTTAAAAACAACAATTAAAAACGAGCTCTTCTGTAACGCAACTTTCCCGATTTCCGAAAAATAAATTATGTATTAATGTATGCATGTGACCTCCGTGTGACGTCAAACTGAGACCACGTAAGCCTACGTACGTGCACTTTGTATTGGGTAAACCGTTATGTACTGCACAATAAGGTATTTTCATCTATTCTATTTATTAATTTGCAGTCTTGTTTAAACAGGGTGGCCTCCTCAGTTTAAAAAAATGCTTTCCTTGAAGGCCCTGTATTAAAAAATTTTTTTAAACTATTAACCAATGCATGTGACCATCTACCAATGACTATACATCCGGCCGAATAAGCCCCTATATGTGACGCCATGATGCCGTTGCACTTTTCCAAAAAATAAAAATCTACAATGTAGCAAAAGATTTCTACGAATTGGTCTTGCGACTCAGTCGCGTACAGGACACTTCAGTGACGCAAACGTGATCAGTTCGATCATGGTGCATTTACGTTGTACGAATACGGGCAACAATGAACAATTCAGTTTTACTACCTTCTCGTATTGTAGACTCATTGATTTCTGCACCTTGTATACTTTGACACACAGTACATTGACACGCGCATTGTTTTAGTGTTGATAAATTATTGGAAAAGGCTATTTGACGTCAACCCTGCCATGGATCATTGCAAGTGTTTCATGTCGGTAGTTTCGCGTGAGAAAAACGGCACTGACCTGTAAAACCAGGCTCAGAAACTTACTCAATTAACCCTTCAACCCGAAGCTATTTGTAGATTATCTACTGAGGTGCATGCATGCGCAACGACATTGACGTGTGCATGCCCGGCCAGTGCACGTTTAGGCCAAAAAAAAAAAGTCTCCG